TCAACTGTGTGAGATGATCGTAGCAGTGATAATTGATTACCACATATTTCTCATATTCTTCATTGTTGTCTTCATCTTTATATTCAGTTTATAATTCATAAGTACTTTGAGATTACCAGCACTAGTAGAAAATTTCACGCTTTCATCATGATAAGTGAAGTGATTCTGTCTGAGTGAATGAATTTCTCATCAAAACATATTCTGCTAGCTCTGCTTTGGTTGACATGTCGTTCTGTCAGCTTCAAATTTATCGAGAGTGTTAGAATTTAAACTTATCGAGCAGGCTACAATTATTTTGCGATGAAAGGAAGTTCGATAAAGCGGCTATTTACCGATTCTCAGCAAATTAACCTTTTAAAGTCTCGTCCACGTCGGTTTCTCAACATTGACTCTTGCTCACTGTAAACTGTCGGTTTCTATGAGCTATAATCACGAACCAAATTCATTCAAACTGATCTCATCTGATCACTTTTAATGAACAGTCCCATAAGCGAGACACGCAAAGCAATTTCAGTGGATTATAGCGTAAACAAAAACTGACTGCATCGAGCTGTTTACCGAGCCGAGCTAACCATACGTAATATGCAAAGCTGTTTGTGCAGTCAATGAACAACAAATATTGTTTGTGCAGTGAGAGGAAGACTTCTTGTTCAGCTGCATGATCCTGTGCACATTCCACTAGCATCAATTAATAAAACCACTCGAATTGTCCGGCGTAAGAAGTGATTTTATGATGAGTGAACACTTGATTGACAACAAATACTAGTTTTTTTGGATTCGTTTACGATGCCTTCAAAGCATCGCGTTGACCAAGTTAGAGATTTTCCTTCTCAAACGGCGATTTTTAGTCTTGTTTTTTTTTTCGACATTGAGTCTCGTTCGGTGTTGTTTTTAAAACGATTTGCACAATGTTCCCTTCTTCGTTCACGGAAACGATTATTTTGCTAGGTCAAATAAAATTTTAAATCCTTTAGAGTCTATTTCTTGATGATTTGATCATTTCAAATGAACTGGAATGTGAGCTTTCTTCAGACTCGAGAGATGAATGAATGCATAGATTTTCGCGCAATCGAAACTCCAGAAATTTCAGGATCCGTACATTTTCTACTCGACTGCATCGGCCTATCCATACAACGCGTCCNNGTGTTTTTAGATTCAAAGAGCATTTTCCAGATCCGGCAACCTATAGTCCCTATTACGGTGCTTATGGGGCTCAGCAAACCGGTGGTGCTTACTCAGCAAGGGGATACTCTCAGCAACAGCAGCAGGCGAGTCCTATGCAGTATCGACGATCAAGGTTTCTAAAGAGTTGACCACATTAGCCACTTTATTCAATCTTATTGTTAGTATTTCACCATGCAGCCAACAAAAGTTGCTGCGTGCGCTTTGCCATGCTGATGTTCCTGTTTTGCATAGACGAATTTGGATGGAGGATGATCGCAAACGAAATTTGTCTTTTGTTCATAATGATTTTTGAGGACTGCACCACCGAGGACAACTCCAAAAAGCACTAACTACCAAACGACATATACGAGACGTGGCAGGGGCTATTCGCTCGATCCTTACTACTTCAATCAGAGATATTATAGGTGAATTGAGAACCCCTTACTCTGAATTGACACAAATTAATGGTTGATTTCAAAATGATTGTGGCATCCATATTGTTCACCTGAAATCGACCATTCCAACCATTCCAAACGATAGAAATTTGAATACATAATCGCAATTTGATGAACACGATTGACAATTTCCACATCTCGAATCGACTTTATCATCATTCAGACGAATGACAACAATAATTATTGCTTCTAATCTATTTAAGAGAACTTTTGCAGATCATATTCGGGTCCAACGAAAGATGCAAAAAATATGCCAATGTACCGGAAAAGACGCGATCCAAACGCTCGAATACAAACTTATGAAGTGAGCGGAATTAACCGTCCATTGATTCTTCAAATTTCCGGCGAATATATTTCGGAGAATTTCACTGAATGGTTCGAAAATCTACGGCCAATTTTCATGTAACACAACTCAGAATTTCACTCCATGAGAATTTTACGGTAGGAATCAATGAGAAAACTGCACTGGTCAACATTAATAGTCATTGCGTTGCTTTGTGTTTGCTTGATAAAAAGTTAAGTTTTAATGAGCCGATTTTGCAGGAAACTGAATTCGGTGGTTCACCTACAGACGTTCAAACACTATCCTATCCAGATGCATATTCGGGTAGACATAAACATTAAATTTCTCGAAAACGCTTACGATTAGATTATTCAGCGTAGAATCTAGTCACAACCCTGCTAGAATGTTAAACAAATAAATGCAACCATCAGTGATATCGTTCGAGAATATCATGTTGCAATCAATTGAGTGTCTCAGTAAGCTTGCTTCATTCCCAAATTACCAACCAATGATGATTCGTTGCGATTCAGCGCCAACAATGCGACGAATACGACCGTTCTATGCGCCAAGCTATACCACATATCCGCCGAGTACGATGAATCCAACGGTGAAGGTGACCACGCAAGACGAAACAACCGATAAAGTCTATCCATTTGGATTGAGATTACTGCTGAAAGTTGCAGAATTGGTAGGTCGGCGTCATATCTTCTAGTGATAACTTTGCTTTGCTCTATCCAACAGATATCAGTTTTGAGTGTCAAGCACTCTGTTTTACAGATTAGTGCATTAGCGTGGTTAGAGCAATGATGATCGGTGGTGTTTTATCGTGGCACAATAACGTGCGATCATGATCGTGAAGTGATGATTTCAGATTATTGGTGCGGCGATTCTAGGTTTAGTTTTGGGCCCAATGCATGATCACTCGTTTTATGAGTTCGTCACAAGTACAAAAACCGAGTGGCAAGGTCTGGTGGTCGGTATCGTGTCGTCTTTTTCGATACTCGCACTAGTTATGCTTGCGACCGCATTCTTCGCACACAAAAACATTTGTTGGCAAAGAGTGGTAAGCTTCACACCAAACTCGAATTGGTCTCATCAACTTTTGACTCTCACTTCGTTCAGTATCATTATCAAAGCCTTAAGTATGATCCACTCCTCAACAATTCACGACAACTCACATTGACATACACAGAAAGATAAACGGCAAACATTTCTACTTAATGCGATTGTGAAGTTTCTGATACGAATTACCATATTTCNTTTTTTTTGAGCTTCACACGTTCACATCCTCAAAATTATCGTTTTACCATTTACCTGAATTAACTGCATGGTTCCAGGAAGTAATTGAATCAGATTTCAGGTGTTGCTATTCATCAACTTTGTTATCTATATCGTCGATTGTGCCTTCTCGTTTCGAACTGGTATCAGTATGTTATAGATAATGATAATTAATTAGTCATTTATGTGTCTATAAATGATGTGATTCGGTGATGTTCTATTTATGCATTTATCGACTACAATTGCATTTCCACGCAGAAAAACCAACGTGGAAAATCCTTTCACTCGTTGACATTTTTCGAGATTAACTAGTGGAACTGAATCCAAATTCCCCTCATCATTCTGAATTGCAAGGTGAATATTTTCGAGGTGTTTGGTGAATGCTTTAATTTGCTTTTGTATATCTGTGTTGAAACCAGTGCGCTATAAATGCCACATAGTTCATTTGAATAACACAGATTCAAAAAATTCGGAAAGGACTCTTAAAAAAGGTGAACGATCCGTCTTCAGAGCATATCGTTATCAGATTGTTATTTCCTTATTGAGTTAAATCTTGATCTAACTCATTTCTTTTCCATCCCTTCACACCTAATTCGAGCACCTAAAACTTTATCCTTTTATGATTACTTTATCGCAGCTCACTTTAATCACTTATGATGTACTCGCATTCATTTTTTCTATTTCCATGACTTTTGTTATTGTTCACTTAATTCGATTCAATTGAGCTTGAGAGCTTTAATCTCAAGTTGTTGGTGAATTTTATGTGATCACTTCGCATATCTGTGATTTACTAAACAAGTTCAGGAAATTTTTATTTTAGTTTTTACTCGCTGGAAGCCAGATGAGTGTCTGCATTGTAAAATGAGCCGTTTTCAACGTTTGCCATCATTCGACTCCTTTCATAGCTAATCAAATGAAACAGTCAGTGTGGGTAGGCGAGTAGTGACCTATTGAACTATCTGTTGCTAACAAATCCGCTAGATGTGCTACGCAAAGCTAAGTGATCGTTGTGTCATAAGGAAGAGGAATTCAGTCTGAACGCTAAGAGGTCAACTAATGCTCGCAGCCCTTGAAATTGTTTGTTACAACGATGAAACAAATACCTCAGCAATGTTCGAATGGTGCATCATAAATATATCTTGCTGAAGCTCTCGATAATCAACTACCAACTAAAACTGTCCACATTCCGATGCTGTGCACAATTGGACCTTAAATGTTGAATTCTGTTTATTGAAGCAATAAATGCAAACAACAACAAAGTAAACAGTTTAGTTTTTGATGTCTTCACGTTCCCCAAATTTTGAGTAAATTTGTTTATCGGTTTTGAATTGGGATGGATGCATTTAAGAAAAGTGAAAGTTGAAGAAGGTTTAGATGTGTGCTGTGCCATTTATCAATAAATTATTTATTGATATCAGTGGCTGACGTCTCAATAGTAGCAGAATTCGTTCACTGTAATAATGGACACATTTATCGCTTTGTTGAAATAAATGCTCAATTCACTCATTTGGTTGTCTTTCAATGATGAATGTTCGAACAATTGAATTGTTTCTCAATCATGTTCAATTCATAAAGAATCACTACTTGCATCTAGAAGTAAACCTCGCCGATCCAATCAGCTATCGTTTATGGTTTATTGAATTGATCACGAATTTCATTCTGATCCAACTCTTTCGTAAGTTGTTTTGCTCACATGTAATTTGGCTTAATAAATGTATTCAATTTCAGATTTACTTTTTTCTTTTTGATTATCACAATTATCAAGGTGTTATCGTTGGTGTCTTCGACGGTATTTTTGCAGGTTTTTGATTTTCGTTAATGCTGTGAATATTTGTTCCAGATTTGCGCTCATTACTGTGATTGTTGTTTGAAAATGTCACTGCCAAATAGTTGAATTGCGATAACGTTTACGACGTTACCTCCTCTGTCTTTGTTCAAATGATGCCTTTAATTATTATTGCAAATGCTTGTATATGATGTGCCTTTGTGAATCAGTAACCATTTGAAATAAATTAACATCGTAAATGTTTACTGAAATGACCACAAAAGCATCACAATCGTTTTATGACTGCCGTATAAATGCTTTAAACTGTTGATCGCTTCAAATTGATGCATAAGTTGAAAAAATAGCGTACTGCTGAGACATATGTTGCCGATCATTTCCTCAGTTATGAACGTCGCAGAGCAGTTACCATTTCAAGACAGCCATTCTATACGGTAGTATTCGTTATTGAATTTTTCATTAAAATTTTCATTCACTGTCAACATTCTGTTTCATTAAAACACATCAAAAAACCTGCACACACTAGAGTAAAACGTTAAAAAAAAAGGAACGCTGAAATTATTAATTGATTTCAATAAATGAATATTTGTAAACTACATCCCTATTCGTTGTTCAGCTGTTCGGCATTGTCCAGCTGTAAGTAAAACAAATTCCCATTCGATCACCACGTTTTGATGTTTTCTAATTGTTTGCGTGGAGAATATGGATTCGCCGGCAATTATTCGCCAAATTTTCAGTTTTCCCCAAAGGTTCATTGATGTGAAACGTGACAAGTAATGCTCTCACACCTATCATATGCGAGAAGTTGTGAAATGCCGTAATATTTTTTGATATCCTCTGAACTTATGAACACCCCATCGCAATCATGCCACTGATCAATTATGCAGCAGTATCGAAAGATTATTCAACTATTAGTTGAGAGCGAAACAATCTTTCTTTAAATCGTCAGATTATCGTCATCCAGGAATTCATTTGCTTAAACGGATCGAACATCGAACAACTGTTGTGCAGAAAAAATTGATCACATTGACGTCACCTCAGTCGGCAATAGTCCACAACAGCCAGCCGAGGAGTTGGTTTCAATTTTAAAAGCCAAACTGTTCTACACCTAAACACTGGAAGTTTTCTCAAGATCAGTTAAACAACTTCGAATTCATACACATCGCATCGCAACTTAAACAAAAACATAATGTGTTATGATGTGTAACGTTGCATAGTTGAAGCCGAATGCAATTTGAAGAATCCATCTGAAATCCCGTATCATAAGCGTACGAATTATCGTAGTGTTCGTGTAAAATAAGCACTCATATAGCACATCAAAAAACGAGATCAGCTGAGTAATCGTCGCAAATGCATTATGATGTGTAACGTTGCATATTCAAAGCATACGAACACAACAAAAATTTGTGTATGCTCAGACGAGCGTATAAATAAATGATAACGAATGTGTTCAGGCGATAAGCACAATGTTGTGATATGTTAGCTGCAATGGCAGAGTGCGATTCATAAGCACTCAGGTTTTATTGATAATATCGGGTTGCGTTCGTTGTGCTTCCATCGGTATTGATGGCATTGATTAGTAAAGGCAGCAGTTAGAGCTCGAGGCATCATTTTATGTGCACAGCAATCATTAACTCAGTCAGGTGTTGTTGTTGTTAGGCATTAAGAGCAGAGAGAGAAATAGGATATCGTTGCTAGATTACGGGTGGAGATCAGCATTTCAGTGATTATAATAGCTGTGTCAAGAACATAGATATCTTCGAGAAATCACTTTGCTCACTTTCAATATCACAGTTCAGTTCCTCAATATTCCCTTAGCAAGTCATTTCGATTGCAATACTGATTAAGTTTTATCATTTAATGGTGATTGCAAATGCGCGATGACCAACACGAACATTGTAGATCCCAGCTCATCCGTGTATTCCAGCTCTATTCATAATCGATATTATTCAATAAATGGTGAGTTAATCGATCATTTAATTCAGTTGTTTCCGATCTTATTCACTCTCATGGATTTGCACTTAATCTGATGGCTTGCCTCACTATTGAATAGAAGTGATAAAACAAAAGTATCGCCTGCAATTCATACATACGTTCTGCAGTCGAAACTTTGCGAAAGCGCAATTGTAATGAATTCGAAATCGATATCGACTGAGTCATGTGTGTTGATTAGTAAAGAATATTATTCTTTCCAGATATTTCACAAACACTTTTTGATCCATATCACAACCTCATTTAATGGATACATCTCAATTTCGAATAGCTACTCACGATCTTCCAGTTAACTGCATTATTGCAAAAGAATCCTCATTTCGTCAGTATGGTTTTAAAAAAAAAACAGAGACAAACATTTGGCTTAATGTCTCTGATCAAATACAATCCCTGGTTCATTCAACTAAATAGAAGAGGAAACAATTCTCCCTACTCTGCTCAAAATCCTCGGAATTTTCAGACACGATTCCAATATTTTCTCATGCGCATACGGTTCGACGATGTCAACATACAGATTGGGATGCGTGCGAAATGTTCCGACTGCAGGAGCTGAATGAAGTTCGTATTGTTTCATTCTCTCATTCATATGTTGCTTCTTCGAGTCTTC